TATGCCTTTTCAAAAATATTAAAAAATAAATGCAGGAAACTATTAGACTCAGCTGATACTACAGGAATTGAGAATACTCTTATGTCTGTTAAAATAACTATGGAGATGACTACAGAGTCAGCTGATAGTCCTGGCTACTAAAGAAGACACAGAGGGAGATCCCCTGAGCCCAGGAGAAAGGAAAAGAAGGGAAGAAAGAGAAAGGGAACCCTAACTATACATTCAAGTTAAGTAGTAATAAAAGAAATTTCCCTGAAAATGTCTTAGAATTATTCCAAAGATTTGGTATAGGATAGGCTTTGGAACATCATTTCTCCACATTGCTAGAGAGGTATTATTTTAGCTGTGTATATTTAAATCTTTATCTTATTTTGTAGAGGAAAATAAAAAGAAATCTGGTATATTCTGACAATCTGAAAATAATAAACCCCATCCTTTTTTAATAAATAATGACATGGAAATAAGAGGAAGGCTATCAAAGGTATTACACCAAGCCTTATGTCATAATATAGTATCTTACTGAAATATGAACCAACTCAATGAAAAAGAAAATGTCACTCCAGACTCATGAAGAAAGGTTGTGCCATAAAAGTGAGAGTCACAGTTATTAAAATTTATCATAGTCTAAAGGATAAACTAGAATTCAACCCAGGTATGTCTGAAGTAAATGATATTCAAGATCCAAACATTAGTACTAAAGGAATCTGGAGGGTGAAGGATTGGGACACTGGACAAGGTGTGTGCAACTTTCTAGTGGGAAATGTGCCAATGGATTTTCTTGGAGCTGGAGGGTGGAAGAGGGGGAATGCTTGGCAGTGATTTTATCCCTTGAGAGTTATTCAGACACTTCTGTTGCAAGTGGCCAGGGATATCATTGGGAAGGCTGTGGCAGAGGGAACCCAGCAATTCTTTGACATCTTAAAGCACATTGCAAACCCACCCAAACCAGACTTGCATCCGTTTGACCATTTTAAGTGTTCCCTTGGCTTTCCTACACAAACCTGACTTAGAATCATTGTGAGTTTTGTTTGTGGTGCTAGTTGTCAAGACCACAGTTTTCTGTATCCTAGACAAGTGCTATACTGCAGAAATATAGTCCCCTAATCAATAGTCATGTCTATAGGTGACCAGAAGACTGCAGTGTCATTATATGTGTAAAACAGTGAGCTATTTCCTCTGAAGAGTGGGGGATGAAACCTTACATGAATTATAAAGTGTAAATATTTTCTTTCCTTTCTTTTATATGATTATTTGAGCATACTTTAATCTTTTGTTGATATCTGACAGTACATATATAGGAAATCAGCGCCCAAAAGAACCTGAGCTTTCAAAACTCTTTATAGAATCAGGTGCACTATTAGAAATTACCTACAATTAATCTGTCTGTGTGTCTGTATGTCTCTCTCTCTCTCTCTCTCTCTCTCTCTCTCTCTCTCTCTCTGTGTGTGTGTGTGTGTGTGTGTGTGTGTGTGTGTGATGGTCAAGAAGTTTAGCAGAATCTTTCCATGGCTCCTGGGGATCAAACTCAAGTCACCAGGCTTATACAATAAAGCATCCTGAGCCATTGCACCAATCTGCCACAAGCAATGCTTTAGGAAATTTAAGAAAAAAAAATACTCCAGGAAATTTAAATATTCATATAACATGTTTGTGGTACTTGTAGAAAGTTATCTTGATTTCTGTGTCACCTTTAGCAAAGTCATAGTATCTCTGCAGATGAAGCTATGCTGAGATTTTCATCAATGTGCATAAATAGCTTGTCCCCACCATCCGCCCTTGGTGAAGGCAGATTTTTACTGATTTCAATAACATTTGATTTCAATTATCTGGGTTCATCTTCAGTACTTCAAACAGCCACAGCTTGCTGTCACTGAGTTAGCATCAAAATCTGTATTATAGTAAAACTTGCTATTTGTACAAATGACCCCAAAAGGAGACTCTGTCAATAACTCATTGATTGTGTTTTTGTGCAAAGATGAAGTGTGCACCCCAACTTTTAAGGCATTTTGTTATGTTGAACAAAGACCTGGCAAATAATGGGCAAGTGCCTTACCATTCAGCTCCAACCCTGACCCTTGGGTTTGAGATGAGGTTTCACTGTGTAGGTCAGACTGTCAGGAAGTTTGATCTTCCAATCCCCACTCTACTGCCTTATGTTCTAATAACAGATCTATGCCACCACGCCTATCTCTCAGAATGTATTTTTTTATTCAGATTATAATACAAAAGGAAATAGTCCCACTACTTGAATTGTTGACTCCACATTAAGATTTGAAATTTGGCCTTTAATATGCTTTCTTTGATCTCTAATTTGCCAGTTTATCAAAGCTGATTAGAGTTTCAATACACAAATTCCTGTCACTTGAAAATTGCGCAAAATTAATGGATAGAAGTCCCAAGCATCGCCTGTTATTCTAATTTGACTTTATTATTGTAGCATGGTTATAAGGTTTGGTAAGGAGATCTGTTTTTATGTTTTATTTCTTTGGTATGGATCAGTTTCCTGCCACATTGGATTAAAGTGGTTTGGGTTTTAATTTTTTTTAAGCCAACTTTCTCAGGCACTGAAATAAGAGCTGTGTTGGTTCACATCAAAAGGAATTATTACCAAGACTCACTTCATTCTCTTTTATCATGATTTAAGGGCATACGTTTTTAAAAAGCTGCAGGAATATGTTTTCTGTATCTTGATATGATGTCAAAACATTATAAAACCGTGGTTGGTTCAAGTCAAGATTTTTCAGAACTTCAATTTCAAAACTTACGGAAGACATTTACTTCACATATACTGGTCATTGTAGACGTTATGCTGAATAATTTGCATATGTTGACAAGTGAATCTGATTGCCAAAGTCACGTGGCTCACATTAATCTCATGGGAATTGAAGATAGCTCTTGGGAGTATCCGTTTCATGTGCTTTTAGTTTCGTAAATCATTTACTTGGATCTTCTAAAATAGTCCAGAAATTATTTCCATCAATTCTTTTGTTGTTGTTGTTGTTTTTGTTTTTTCAAGACAGGGTTTTTCTGTGGCTTTGGAGCCTGTCCTGGAACTAGCTCTTGTGGACCAGACTGGTCTCAAACTCACAGAGATCCTCCTGCCTCTGCCCCCCCATGCCCCCACCCCCGATTGCCAGGATTAAAGGCGTGTACCACCACAGCCTGGCCCATCAATTCTTTTAATCTATGTATTTTTCAAGAAAATGAGCAAACAAAAAAAAGTCCTTTGTTGAAATAATTTTCATTCAGGCTATTTTTGTTATTTCCCCTTGGAGGCACTGTATATGATTCTAGAATTGTTTCCTGAAGCTAACCCTGTTTTCTTTTAGGCACTCTGAAGCTGGTTTTTATCTCAGTATGTTCATACTAGAGCCTTTTAGAGTGGAGTATCTAATGTGCATCCCAGTTTTCAGTGTGGCTAATGATAGACCTGTAAACAATCAAAAGTACAAAAAGGGAAAGGAAAGAAGAAAAAAAAAGAGCCTTGCTGCCAGTTCAAATGATCCCTGTTAAATGTTGACATCCACTACTGAAAGTGTTGGCCTGCTGACACTGTCAGTACAATAGAGATGCTATACAGACCTTCAGTCAGAACAGTTGTTAAAACTGTAAAACTTTAATGAACGCAAGGTATGCTATTGTGTTTTAAGTAGTGAGAGAGACACTTAAACAATTCCCAAGGGATCATGGGTTTTATTTGGACAAGTTTGCCAGTGGTTTTTTTTTTTTGTTTGTTTTTGTTTTGTTTTGTTTTGTCTTATGATTGTAGAACTGATTAACTTACCCTGCTCCATCTTGCCTTCTGATTTTTCCAAATGGCCCCCAATATTACCCAGGGGAGAAGGGTTATAAATTGACAACTTCTTTGTTTCCTTTTTTTTTTTAATCTCATGCAGGTCTGTTTTTATGGGAGAGGTGTTATGAAGACTGTGTAGGTGTGATAATGTTTTCCTATAGTCTCCTATAGCTTGGTGGTTTTCTACCTGTGGGTGGGCAATAATAATGAAATTGTTAATTTGTGAATCCTTTTCAGTCTTTAGACTGAAAATAATGAGTGTCTGGCTTAATAGTGTGTCTGAAATATTTATGCCAAATATATATGCACAAAGAAGAAGAGAGGAGGGTCGTAGAATATTTCCATAACTTCTTGGAATTCTTACATCTCAAAGAAGGTGAAAGTTGCTGTCACAAGTTTCCGTTAATGGAATCACTATCTGATTTTTTGAGTAATTTGAAATCTTCATTCCTGTTCTAAGTCTGATCTGTGAGTTTCTGTCAGGCATCTTTATTTTAAGAGGTGGGAAATAGAACAAATCAAGTTGAGTTTCAAGCTAGGTGACAAAGCACTTGCCTATCACAGGAGAGGTCTGGATTTGATCTCCAGTTCTAACCAAATATACATACATACATACATACATACACACACATACACACACATATCATATATATGTATATATGTGTACATATGTGTATGTATATATATACATATATATGTATATGTATATATAATGATAAATGGGTGTATAATGATGTATCTCTTTCAGAGAAGATCATATCTGTCACTTGAGATCTATCCCAAAACACATGGCTACAAAGAATTTAAAATGTGTATCACATTCATTTGTTTATATTTCCAACTTGATGGTTGTACTTGTGCTTGAGAGAATTATTTTTAACAAATTTGTTGATATTTTTAAGTCCCAGCATAATCAATGTAACTATGAAAGTAGTGTACCAAGTCCTTAGGTCGCAGTGTCGGGGCCAATTAATTATTCATAACCTAAAAATTTTGGTTGGTTATGTAAAAATCTTTTATGTCCATGTATTAGTGTCAATTTAATCCAGTTTGATAATACTTCTAGCATATCAGTATATTAATAGAGTTAAGATAATATCTGGCTGGAGAACATTAGAATTCATAGTTAAATCTGATGTTTTGATTGTATACTCTCTGAGATGGCAGAGCAATGTACCCACCTGGCCTCTTCTTGTATTTTCAGCCAAAATTGACCAAGAGTCACAAGAGGCTGCCCTGACAGAGACTCATAAATGGTAAGACATTACTTTTCTTTAATATAATATTTCTTCTCAGAATAGCCTTATGAAGATTTTTTGTTTGTTTTAACCCTAGGAACCAGTACTTGGTTGTGGGGTATTTTGTTTTGTTACTTTCAAGCAAAAAATTGTAGTCTAATGTAAGAGTGTACCTTGGGTCCACAGTGAATTTCTGAAAGTTGCTATGGCACATAATACTGTAATTGCTAAGTTGTAAGGAGCAGCCTCACCTCTTTTTGATGGGATTCAGAAGAAAGGAAATGAAAAATTATACAAGATATGGAGAAGCTGCATTTTGTTTTGTTTGTTCTTATTTTTTGTTCGCATAAAATTAATGGATCTTATTATGATGTATTCATAAATACTTATCATTGTACTTTGCTTATATTTGCTCCTCACTATCTTCTATACCCCTCTTAATTTACTTATCTCTATAGCAATTTTGGTTAAAAAATACTTTTACTTTCTAAGCTTGAAATTTATCATTCCATCATTTCTTGTCATTTAGGGATTGTGTTGAGCAGTAGCAGGTTATTCTCATGTGTTTTTTCTTTCTGAAATGATACTTTTCTCGAATAACTTTTCTTTCTTTTGTATTTTGGGCATCTTAATTGTAATGTGTCATAGAGAAATTCTGTCATTATGTGTGTTTGGGATTCTAAAACCTTCGTATGATTGGATTCCCATTTCTTTTCCTAAATTTGGGGAATTTTCTGCTCTAATGTCACTGAATAAATTACCAAGGACTTTAGTGTTTACCTCAGCTCTTACCTTTATCACATTGTAATTTTGAGTCTTGATCATATGTTGGGGTTCTTGAAGTTGTGATCATGGTCATTGACATTTTTTTCCATGATATTTGATATCACATTTCCTCAATCTTATCTTCCTTCCTTGATGTTCTATTTTCTGATTGGTTGACTGTATTGTAATGATGATTTTTCATTGCTTTTTTTTAAAAAACGTTTATTTAATTATACAGTTTTTAATTTCCAGCATTTCTTTCTGATTATTACTATTATTAATCTCAGTTTTCTTGATGATTTTCTTTTTGGCATTCTAAACTTTTCATCCACACTGCCAGCTTTCTGTTTTTGAATCTTCTTTCCAGGTCTTGGATTGATCACATGATGTTTTTCAGTCCATTTATTGTGATTTCCTTGAGGCCATAGATCAGTATTATACAAACATACATGCACGCACACACACACAATTTTTAAATCATTTCACCCTCCTCAGATTTTTAATTCAGTAGCTTAGGGGTTGCAATAGTTTAGCCATGCTTCCTTGCTTTTTCATATTTGTGTTATACTTTGACTTTCTTGTTTGTTTGTCTCTCCAGTGTTATTTGAGGGATCTTTTATTGATTGGCCGTCTCTCTGGGGCTCATTTTCCAGCAGACGTAAAGATAAAATACACTGTGTTTAGGTGAGGCCTCTGTTTTCCATGCACAGTATGGGCCTGGAAAATTCACTCACTTCTTCTCACTCTTGTTCTAGACCCCTAAGCATTTGTCTTGTCTCCTGTCTCTCCCTTTTTGGATTTCCAAAGATCTACCCCTCTTTCTGTCTTTTGAAAATAGTAGTCTTGTTTTTCTTCCTTATCTTGAGTTTTCTTCTTTGCTCTGAAACTTGGAAAGTAACGAGTACGGTTTTTCTTCCTGCCGCCAGGTCTTGTCACGCCACTGCGCCAGCCCCAATTAACACACACAGAGACTCTGTGTTTGATATAATCCTGTTGGCCTGTTACTAGTTCCTCATCGGCTAGCTCTATCTTAATTATTAACCCATTTCTATGTATTTCACGTGGTCTTATTGAAAGTGGAATGTTCTCTCCAGACTCTCCATCTTGACTCTCTTTACCTACTTCCTCTTTCCTCCTTGTCTCCTAGTCCCTCCTATCTTGCTTTCCTATTGGCCAACAGTGCTTTATTCATTAACCAGTATGAGAAACATATATACATAATGGCATCTCCCATCATCTCCTCTTTTCTGTCTAAATAAAAAGAAGGGTTTTAAGCTTAACATAGCAAAATATATAACACAACAGTTATCAAATAAGAATCACAGTTAACAATATTTAGTCCATTAACATTTAGCAATATTAAAAGAAACTATTCTATCATCTATCCTATATTTGTGAGTCTAAAGTCCTATATGTAACTTATCTTTAATCCTAACTAAGGAAAACTATAACCATAACTATTTGTCTTTATCTCCTTCAAAGACCACAGAAGGATAGTATATAAACTCTAGAAATGACAGAGACAACTCACTGCCTGGCAAACTGATGAAAGAATTGGCAAGTTCTAAGAAAGCAAAAGCCGAAGTCAAGACATAAATCACAACATACGCAAATCCAATGAGTTGAAAATACTAATGATAAAATGTTTAGCAAAACAGCCATTTTAATCTTTAGAAATAAAGATAAGTAGTAGGTTATCTGAAACATTTGACATTTCCTCCAAAATATATCTTTATACCATTTTTTTCCACAATTCTATGTAGCCCAGGCTGTGCTCAGTAGTAGCTCTGTGAAGAAAGGCAGCATAACCCTTCTAAGGACCTTTACTGTTGAGCCAGGTCTTTCATATGCCATAGCACTAGACCTTAAACTACTCTTAAAACCATCAGCTAAATAGTATTTACTTTGCTAAAGAGGATTAAATAACATGATCTCTGGTGGGTGTTTTAGTACTTTTAAGTGATTCATATATATTATCTACTGTAGGGCTAGGGAGATGGGTCAGTTAGTGAAGTGCCTGTTTCACAAACCTGTCTGAGTTCAGCCTGATGGCTCCCATGTACAAAGCTGATGATGGTGGTGCATACCTACAGTCCCAGTACATAGACAGCAGGACCCCTAGTCCTTGTAGGGCAGCTTGTCCTGCTAAAGGGGTGATTTACAGGTTCAGCAGGAGACCCTGCTTCAAGAACTAAGGTGGGAAATTAGAAAGAAAGATACCCAATGTTAACCTCTGGCTTACACATAAACACACAGATACATGTACAAACACATACACACCCATGCATGCTCTCATATACACACATCCATAGTGGTAGAAATGGTCTGTGAAGAAGAAACCATGACAACAAGAGACTCTGCACCTCAGGTTCTGCTTGTAAGTGTCACTTTGGGCAAAGTGAGCCACGTGAGCCACTGTCTTCTTCCTGCTGCTCTGCCTAAGAGACTTAGCTGGTTTGGGAATAGAACTGGAAGAATTCCAAATCTAAAGACTTTATCAATAAAGAAAAGAAAAAGCATTTGGCAGAGAAAAAAATGAAGAACATTCTTATATCCCATGATACAGTTTAACAGAGGGCTAAGCTTGGCCAAACTTATCAGAAGTTTAACAGAAAGAATGAAAGATAGAGACATACAAGAAGGATCCTTCTGGGATCACAGTTGATACTGGAAGTTTAGAAGCCTGTACATGCTCTCCTGTAGACTTCAGACCAGGATAGGACAGACAGAAACCTTCTCCAGTCTGATTTGAGATCCCTTGCTGCATGTTGCAAGCCATATAACCTCTGACCAACCTCTGGCTGAACAGTTCTGACTCTGAGAACTCCCAGGATGCCAGAGTTAAAAATAAAATCTCACAATATTTACTCTCCATGACCCATGTTTGCCAGTACTAAGTAAGTTCTTGCTTCTGAAGAATTACATATGAGCCAGGAGAAATGTTTTTGCTTGGTGTGCTGAGAACACCACTCTGTCAGGTTGACTGGCTTTTTTCAGGGTTAAGGGGGAATGGTCAGTTCTCACTAGATTCTAAAGTTCCTTGTCCCCTTTGTAGCGGTAAAGCCTCAGCTATGTTCTATACCCTGTTACCTGCTACCCCCATTAGTGGATCACATTAGAATTCAAAGCCTTGGTCTTTTATGTCACTCCTATTTGTTCTTGCCTTGGCTTCCTTACAGTCAGCTAAAACTGAGACAAAGCAGTCCACTCAGCAAGGCCTTTGAAAAGGTGAGCTAAGAATTCGTATTCATTTAGACCTGCAAGTATCTCATCTTCTAGTTTTTTTTTATCTTTACTCTTGTTATTTTCTATGTATCATGTTATCATAAGCCAAATAAAATCATCCTGGGGATAAGATCTGGAACAAACAAACTGGGTCTGTTTGTGTAAGTTTGTGCTCACAAACTCGGTCTTCATTCTCCAGTTTTCTATTAGCTCTTTCTGACCTTCAGACAGAAAATACAGTGGGGCGTTTCATTTCAATGAATGTATTGACAGCCTCTTAACAACAGGAAGTTTCTGCTTAATTCCTGGTTTGTTTGTTTGTTTGTTTTTTAAATCTGGGTGATACAGCAAATGCTTAAGAAGACTTAGTTTATGTTGTGTGAGAGATCCATTGACGGCCTGCTGACATGTTTGATTTTAGAAATGGCGACCATTTATAAGTAATAAGAATTTCTGGGTCAGGCTTCAGATGTGGGAATGATAAAGGATGAATGCCCTTCCTCTGTCAAAAGAGAAGTGTCTGAAGAGTTTTGATGCATCACACCACACTGTATGGTCACAGAGGCTCCTGAGAAAGAAGGTAGGGTTTTTTGATGGACAGAGCCTTGCTGGTTCCTTGGAGCTAAGCTCTTTTCCTTCAGGAATGTAGCAGGTGAGCCACGCTGTAGTGTCTGGGACTCTCCTTCCTCTGCCCTCTGAGGCCTTAGCAAAGGACTTTCTTGTTCTTTCCAATGCCCAAAGCTTCTTTGTGTATGGTTGGTGAGAGAATTTCCTAGAAAAATGCTTGCTAAACTAAATGCACACGTGCACATTCACAAGAATGCACATGCCCACAGACATGCAAACACACAAAACTACTTTCTCCCCTCCCTCCCACAACACACAACACACAGAGACATGAAGATGGGGCACACATATAGAAAGAAATGAAGTCAAAAATCCACTGTTCACAAACACACACACATGCTCATACACAAATACAGGTTCAAATACTCACAGAGAAGCAGATTTGTATGCATACAGAACAC